AGGAAGTTGGGTGGTTATTTTTCTGTTGCCCACACTCAAGTGTAAGCACTGTAAGGCTATAACAGTGACTATTTGAGAATTTGACAAATACGCAGACCATAGGAATAATGTATTAGGTTTAACGTAACAGATTGCTTTGCTAATATATTTATAACTGTGGCACATAATGATCTTGAAAATAAATTGTTTCTATAATAAACCAAATATTATTTAGAAAATATCATAAAACAAAGTTATGTCCAACTGTCCTGCATACCACACTGAAGGATGGAAGTCATGACCCTGCCTCCAGAGAAGAGGTTGTTACTCTAATTTCCTTCTGTTCTCTGCTTTAGAGGAACTTGAACACGGGTTATGGTTGCCAAATAAAATGTAATCAAGTCATCTTGTTTAACAAATAAACAAAGTATATGCTTTCTAGAATTTTGCTTGGAAACCGGATCTTGCAGCCCATGACCACAGCCTTGTGGGCAATAAATGGTGGAGAAAAAAAACTTACGTGGGCTTAGACGCCTCGGCCTGGTCTGTCTGTAGTTTCTCTCCCCCTTCCACCTCCATTGTGCAGTACACAATGCGATTGGGAGCCAAGGATTTGAGGCCTTGCACTTCCATGATCACCACCTGGAAACAATCACACAAAGTGGAAGTTATTGCCAAAGACCATGGGAGGAACCATCCACAGGAAATATATGAATGAGAAGAAGTTACCGAAAAGCCAGCTCATACCTGATGGCTTCCACTAGGTTTCTGCCAGCCACGCTGGGACCAGTCTAGCATGAAGATGTAATTCTTACTGTGTAGCTTATTGCCTCCCAGATGGAAAGACAAGTCTCACCAATTCATATGCTCACGGGGGCCAGACAGGTAATGTGAAATGGCTACTCTTTTCTGTTAGTCACAGGATCTGTTTCCATTTCCACAAAGAAATCTGCTATCTCCTATTTCTTTAAAAATAATCTAGGTTTTAATTCAGCACTTGGCAAAGACACAGGCCCATGAGTTTACTTAGCCTTTATAGTAAGACTAAAGGCCCAGTGCATGAAATTCATGCATGGGGGGAGGGGGAGTGGTCCCTCAGCCTGGCCTGCAACAACGCCAGCATTCCTTGCCCTGGCCTCCGGCCCATGGTCCCTTCCCTGCACTCCCTCCATGCGGCCGGTGTGCGGATGCTAGGCTCGCATTGCCAGGGCAATGCCACCAGCGTCCCACCCCAGCCACTATGGGCACCACCATCTTTGTCATGGAGTGATGGTTAATTTACATATTACTCTTTTATTAGATAGGATAAGTGGTGATGGAAGTGCTAAGATTAAGGGCAAGTAGCATTAAGCAGTACAGTCAGAGACAAGAGGGAGTAGTGGGTGTGGCACCTGGAGAGCACACTCCATCGAAGTGGAGCAGTTGATAGTCATCATAGCCCTTGTGGCCTTGTCTTTCCCTGGCCCACTGTTGCCAGATGCTCTCATTTTCCTACCAGAAAATGGGAATCCGGGTCAGAATCCAAGTCAGATATCTGATTTTGAAATTTTGATAATAATTCAAAAAGGGGGGAATAAAACACCCAAACTTTGTGCAGGACAACATTGCTGGGTCAAACCAAAAACATGTCTGTGGCTGCATACACTGTTCTACTCGGAAGGAAAAGGCTAGTGTCTTGATTTACAAGTCCTTCCACTTCCCACCTCTACCCTCAAACTCATCAGTCACCTGCTGTTATTCTCCTAGTCCAGCCGTGGGCAAACTACGACCCTCAGGCTGGATCCGGCCCATTCGGCTGTTCTATCCGGCCCACGGAGCCGAAAGAGTGGCGGGGTCTCTTGCTCTCCCCTCCGCTCCTTCACCAGCAGCAGTGTTAACATGGCAACGTCAAGAAACACGGCCACAGCTCCTTCTTCTGAGTCCAGTTTAAGAACCAATTGTGGCCCTCGAGTCAAAAAGTTTGCCCATCCCTGTCCTAGTCACTGGTATGCCCTGTCACCTATCAGAGATGGGGGAGGGCATGAGGCGAGGGCAGAGACACTGGTGTAAGAATCTGAAACAAATGGCATGCATCAGAGATCTAGAATGAGTAATATATATTGAAAAAAATCAATTATACTCTCGAAGAGGTCATGACATTACACAAGGAGGGGATGTGGGCATGCAAACACATACACATCTGTATGGGCTTGATTCCAGGAAGTACAATCAGGCTGGCATTGAGACAGGATTCACAAGTTAGTTTTCCTGCTAATTAGCTCAGTGGCTCTTAAACTTAGTGTGACTCTAAATCACCTGGAGGGCTTGTGACACCAGAGACTACTGAGCTGCACCACCAGTTTCTGATAAGTAGGTCTGGGATGGGGTCCAAGACTTTTAAAAATATATAGATTTTTTTAATGATTTCAGAGAGGAAGGGAGAGGGAGAGAGAGATAGAAACATCAATGATGAGAGAAAATCATTGGTTGTCTGCCTCCTGCATGCCCCGCGTTGGGGATTGAGCTTGCAACCTGGGCATATGCCCTGACCAGGAATTGAACTGTGACCTCCTGGTTCATAGGTCGATGCTCAACCATTGAGCCATGCTGGCTGGGCAAGACTTTTTATTTTTAACAACTTCCCTGGTGATGCTAATGTGTTGCTCTGATCCAGGAGTCATACTCTAAGAACCATTGTACTTCTCATGTGATGTTGGGCAAGTGACTTGTTCTGGAAGTCACTCCACTTTTCTTTTCAAACACCTGCGCCTCAGTTTCCTCATCTGTAAAGTGGGCACATGTTCCTTCTCTCGCTGTGGCTTTTGTGTGAGGACCAAATGATGTATGGAATTGAAAAATTTTACATGAGGAAGAATCATAGAAATGAGAAGAAATGGTAGGCACAGGAGAAAGAACACACTTTTTGGAATTTAAAAGGTCTGAGTTCAAATCCCAAATCTGCATCTTCACTAGCTGTGCAATCATTTATAAGCTCCTTAACCTCTCTGAGGTTTTGTTTCCTCATCTGCAAATGCCTCCAAAGATTGCTGTGAGGATCACTGAGTGGATAGTGGCAGAGCCCGGTTCATAGTGGCATTCTTTAAGTACCTACAGTTTTCATCAGAGCTCCCCCTGCCCACGGCCATGCCACTCGGCCTCCCGGACCTCAGTTCTCTTGCTGCAGTTAACTGCTCTCTGGTGTCCCTTCCAGCAGGTAATTCTATAATTACATGAAATCTGTCTTGTTCCAAACTGAAAACTGAAACCCAGCCTTCCCTAATGAGATGACAGCCGTTCTCCCTCTTCTTGCCTCCTGTCTTTATGTCCCCCAAACATGCTCACAGATAGATATACAATGATTTTTGCTGGTCGTTTTGGTGAGATGTGCGATTTTGTGGTCTAATTTAAAAGCATTGGGGAGCCCTGGGGCACTTTATTCTGTGCTTGTAATTACTGGTTAAAGCCTGTTTTAAGCATGTACGCATGTGAGGATGGCTGGGGACTCGCCTACATTGGCATTTCAGCTAATCAGCTGTATAATATTGTCTACTGGTAAAGAATCAGAAAATTGCACATTTAAAAGCTTCATGCAAATCAATAAAGCACGTTTTCTCCTCTCTGTAGAATGACAAGAAGCAGCTGGGAATAAATTGCCACCTCTAATTGGCAATAATCAAATTCAAAGACACCTAAGAACAAACGTGCAGTGCCTCAGGTAGTGGTATTGAAAAAGAAAGAAAGGAAGCTTCTGTGAAATTACACTGATGACATTTTTCACACAACAAATGGTCTATATTTAACCGAATACTACTTCTTTTGACAGCAAAATGCATGTCGGAAATACTGTCATGTGGCTATTTCAACCCAAACTGCGCACAGGCAAATTACCTGCGGTTAATTCACAGCAAGCCTTAATGATGTTCTAAATTAATTCAGTTTTTACACATTCTAATTACATCTACAGAAATTTGATCTATTCTCTTGGTCTCCCTAAATCTAGGGCCATCATAAAATCCTGGGGGGTAGAGCTGTATGAAGATATGAATGGGTCTCAAACTTGGGAGTGTATAGAAGTGCCTGGGTATCTCATTAACATGCACATTCCTGGCTTGCATTTGCCTAGAGATGCTTTTTTCTGATAACTTTAGTGAGGCATAGTTTATATATCATATAATGAACCCATTTTAAGAGTATAAGCAATGATTTTAGCAAATTTACTACATCATCATAAATTAGCTTTAGGCTCCTCATGTCCGTGTCCACCCGCTGCCTCAGGAAACACTAATTTCTTTTCTGTTTCTGGAGACCTGCCTTTTCTGAACATTTCATATCAATGAACTCAAACAATATGTGGTCGCTTGTATCTGGCTTATTTCACTAAGCATGAATGTTTTTGAGGTTCGATAAATCAAAGCATGCCTCGCCGGTGTGACTCAATGATTGAGCATGGACCATGAACCAGGAGGTCATGGTTTGATTCCTGGTCAGGGCACACACTCAGGTTGTGGGCTCCATGCCCAGTAGGGGGCATGCAGGAGGCAGCCGGTCAATGATTCTCTATCATCATTCATGTTTCTAACTCTCTCTCCCTCTTCCTTCCTCTCTCTGAAATCAATAAAATCATATATTTTTTAAATATCAAAGCATATATCAGTAGTTTACTCCCTTGAATTGCTGAACAGTATTCCCTTGTCTGGATGTAAAAATTTGACCCATTCCCCAGGTGATACACATTTAGACTGTTTCTATTTGGCTCTTATGAATGATGCTGCTATAAACTGTTGTGAGCATGTTTTTGTGGGATGTGTTTTCAGTTCTCTGGGGTAGATATCTAGGAGTAGAGTCACTGGACATACCTTGGTTTTATGTTTAACTTTTTGAGAAAACACCAAACTATTTCCAAAGTGACTGCACCACTTTAAATTCCTACCCCCTAGAGATTTGGGTCAATAGGGTCTGCAGTCTGAACCAGCTTCTGGGGAATTCTGATGATGTTGGATCAGATATGTAGGAACAGCAAACAGCAGAGTAGAAGTTATGGAGAAGTGTAATGACATACCGAGCATTCAACTGGAATTCTGGCCCAAATGGGTTTTTCCTTTGGGTTGTGAGGTAAACTAAAAAGGCTCCACGGAGCCAACAGGAGAGATGGTGGGAAAGACAATTTACAACTCACCACAAAATGATGTCCAATTGCTTCTCTCATAACTTCAACCCAGGTTGCCCAGACTTTAAACTTTCTAAATTGCATAGCTCTTTACAAAATCCTTGATCACTGGTTTAAGACAGTACAAGTAATGTGAGATGGCATTTAGTAAGTGGTTCTTAAGACTGCCTTTCCTTGAGAAAAGCATGGGCTCCCGGGGGGAGGGAATGGCTTGCTGATGAGCCGGCCCGTGCTCAGCAAGCAGTGCTTTTAGGAACTGCTCCTGGGGCGCAAGGAACACACAAGCTGATTGTGAGGCCTCTGATCACCGCGTGCTGCTTGCTGGGCCAGGAGACGGTCAGGGGGCGAGAGCTTCTTACCTCCAAGGAGAAAGCCAGCACGACGTCGGACTTGGAGAGCTGGTTCTCACTCTCCTCGCCCAGGTCGATGATGGAAGCGTTGTGGCTGCGCTTGAGCTTCTGAAGCTTGAACTCGCCGCCCTTGGACACCGGCATGCTCTCCAAGTTGGCCATGAGCAGGTTGACGGACGACTTCAGCTCCTCGATGTACATGTTTTCCATTTCTTTGGATACAAACTTGGGGAATTTGCGTTCCTTGCAGAGAAAAAGCAAAATAAGAACAGGGGAGTAAGTAGGGAGCGATTTACATCGGTTTACATCTTAAAGCCCAGAGTTAGGATAGCAGCCACCACCCGAGAGCTTAGCATGTCTAGAAAAATGTTCAGTCTAGTTGAGTAGACAGCTGCCAGCCTTCTGGTTATAATCCCTAATAGTCACAAATGGACATGAACATAGAGTAAGGAAGGGTTTATTATAGTTCTAGTCCCTCCATCCCCCCAATTTTCTCTGATTTGTGGAAAGAAAAATGGGGAGATGTTTTTCAAGTCCGGATTCAGTTGAAATAGTTTTTCTTTTTAGAGAAATGCAATCGGTTGTTTTTAATTATGTTGACAGAAAGACACCTTATTTCTGGATATTTATAGAAATAGTTGTAACAGTAATATGCCTTAGTTGTGCTATTTATTTGTGTGTTCATGCCTCTAGGTTGTCCAGATGCCTTGAATATACTTTGGATTTATCACCTTCTCAAATAATAATTTCCTATTTGAAACATCAAATAGCACTCCCTCCCTAGCCATGCTCTATAACTGATCAGGTGAGGAGCAAGACAAATCAGCTTGATAAATATTTTTTTGTGTGTGCCAGGAACAGAAAAATCCAATTTGAATAATAAAAGGAATCTATTGGCTTGAAAATGTCCTGGGGTAGACCCAGCTGTAATCAGCACTCAGGTGACATGACCACAACTGAATGAGTTTTGACTCCAAATCTTGGTTTGGGTTCCTCTGGGTTGGCCCCATGCTCAATCTTGCTCCTCTTAATGTCACAGAAAGGTTGCTAAAGATCCAGATCTCACAACAGCCCATCACAAAAGGAAGAGTGAATATCTCCTCTTGTAATGCCCATGGAAGATGAGAGTCTTTAATCTGAGAATTCTCTCCCAAAAAGTCTGACTTATGTATATACTGGGAACCAAAGGCCAGAAGCATGCTGTGCTGAACTGCTTAGGCATGAGTTATGTCCTCCATCCCTGAGGCTGGGGGTAGAACTCTACCTAGATCACAGGAATCTGAATAGGTTTGCCAATTCTGGGTGGCAAAAAATAATATGTCTATTACATGGGTAACTGATTCAAAGTCAACCAATCAATACTATTAAAAGGCCAATGATCAACCAGATTTATTCTCTCAACAATTGAACTGAGAGATATTGTTTTCAGTGAGTGGTGGAGCTGAAACAGTAGATTATGCAGATTCATGAGTGGCTGCCATATTGGATCTGGTGGAAGCAGAATAAGACCCCTGGCAAAGGAGAGAGAGAAAGATGTAGAGAGAGAGGAAGAGAAGAAGAGGAGGAGGTGGGAAGAGAAGAGTGGGGAATAAGATGTCTAGAGTCACAGGAAAGGAGCTTTGCCTTCCACGGGTGTTGTAATTCCCACAAAGTCTAGTTATTCCTTTTCCATTCTAGTTCCTTGAGAGTCTCTTATTTTGCTTTCAATAATTCCCCCTAGTCCCTAGTTAGCTAGAAGGGTATGTCTTCCTTGACACTATAAAGCTCACTCAGATTCACACAGGGGCTTCTCTATATAGACTCAGAGGTACATTTTTGCTGTCAGTCTTCTTCCTACAGAGACCGTCATAAGTGTTTCCCTTTCCTCTCCTCCCTAGGTAATTCTCAGCCTTCTTGTCACCTTGCATGTTTCAGCCTCAAAACTTAACTTCCCTGGGGTTGGGTCCTTTATTGTACTTTTATTGTAATTCTTAGCTTACCTTCTTGGTAACACTTATTATAATTAATTACTATTATAAAATTTACTTGTTCAATGTTTGTATGTCCTTCTGGGCCACTAGGCAGGACCATACCTCTCTTGATACTTCTGTTGAATTCCTGATATCTAGAATGATGTTTGGCACACAGTAGATATTCAATACATATGAGTTGAATAAATGAATGATGGCTTGTCAAAATGTCCATGGTAAATGCCAATGCAGCTAAAACTCATCAGTGAGAAGCAGGTGAAGAGATGATGAACTAAATCTGGAAGAACACTGAGATTCTGCTTTTCCATGTAAATGACTAAAGGATCTGAAACCAACCTAGCAGCCTTAGAGTACCGATTCCTTCTGGAACCTCTTGGTACAATTGTTTCCTGCTTTACGGTTGGGCTCAGCCCACTGTGTGGTGCTTTCTGAACATCCTGTGAGTGAAGAAGTGAGGGGAGAAGCAGGATGGATGCTCTGAAATGAGATGATAGGCAGATGAGCTCAACAGGAGCTAGTCATGATTCAATGCAAAGGTCTTATTTCTCTAAAATTTCTGCATGGTGGGCTTGATTTTCATCATTCTTGGATTCATCAGGACACCTCAAAAACTTGGGTACCCTTTATGGAAGGATATGGAAATGTGAGGACTTGGCCGCTGGGCCATCATCACTTGGAAAACATTTAATGCCATCAACACTGTGCCTGGCCCAATACTAGGCACAAGATGACTGTGACATAAGGATACAGACTGTTCTCCTGGAGGTTTCAGTGAGTGGGGGGAAATATCTACGAGGGAGCATCAAAGCTGATGTGGTAATGGAAATCTCTGAGGTGTGAATGCTTCCTGAGAGAATTAGGGTGGCTTTCCAGAGGAGGTGACCTTTGGGCTAAGAATCTGATCGACAAAGAAGAGCTTTCCACCAGGCTGAGTTGGTTGAGACAGGGCCACTGCTATTTTCTCCTTTCCATGGGAAACATAGTGGGCAACCATGAACCTCAGAAGGTATACAGAACTGTAAGTGGTCACAAAATATTTTCCATTTCCTTTTGAAGATGGCCTCTTGTGAGAGTAAAGGGAAAAATGAGGTAGGTTAACTCATAGTCTCTAAGGCTATGTTAAAGGAGGTCAAACAGCAAAGGCTACATCCTAACAGCCTAAGGGCTGTTACACTGACCTCGCTCTTTTCTCTTCATATTGGAGCACAAACCTCCTAACTACCTGGATTCTTGGACAGCTGGGTAAGTGGCATCTCTGATTTCTACTGGCAACTGCTGGCCTTCGAGTCGCCATGGGGATAGCGAAAAAGCCATCATGTCTACGAAGTGTGTGCTTTCCTGCTAATCAACCTTGAGAGACCTTACCATCAAGTGCAGGTTCTTTTATCACAAGCATCTTCCGAGACTACTCAAGGCCTTTTAACTCTACAGTCTAGCATTTTGGGAAGAAGACCTGGTGGTCACTGACAATATCACTGTGGCCTGGAGTTAGCGTCCCCCAAACTTTTATGCAGCAGAATATTGGAAAAATCCAAAGAATGACACTCCTCTCAGAAGTTGGGCAGTCCCCAATGACATCATAAAACAAGGCACATAAAACAGAAGCGTGCAAGGGACAACAAGGTCATTTTTCTACCCTGAGTACGTAAGCCTGCAGAAGAAATAGCATCGTGTTGACCTAAGCTGAGGTTCTTGAGGGGAGTTTTGAGCAGCAGACCCATCACAAACACATTTCAACCTAAACTTGTGTCAAAATGAGGAAAACAGAGTCATCCATCTTGATTGTACTTTCCCACACGTAAGAGTAAATTAGCCTCGTCGCAAGGATTGCTTTTTCATTCTGCGCTATAAAAGACAGAGCATACGGGTGAACAGTCTTCCAGGGAAAATGTTAGCTGGGCATTTATTTTTGTTTTGGCTGATAACATTCCTCAGTGGGTAGGCCTCCCAAGGACAGCTCCCAGAGGCAAGTGTGTGCTCGGCAACATTGAGGGATTTGGGGAACATCTTGAAAAATGGCATTTGAAAGTGCTAACAGCTGTTGGCCATTTGCTTTGCTTTTCTGCCTTTGCATTTTTGCCCACAGATGATGAAGTGGGTATGTGTAAAAGCTAACAAGTGTACTCCACTCTAGCGGATCCCGAGATGCCAAGGGCTCAAATGACATGTCCTGGCAGACAATCAGAAGAAAGGAAGTGGCAGAAGAACACTTCCTAGATGTGGGAGCTCACCAACAGTGGTGCAGTCATTCAATTCCATCTCTAAAGCGCTTCCTGTCATGTGTCGGGTAGTATGGTTGCTGCTGGGGACAAAGGAGTCAGCAGGGAGGCAATGGTATGAGGGGCCATGGCAGAAAGCAACCCATCAGACACCGTGTGACACATGAGGTAACAGAGGATGTGCGGGGTACAAAAGCCACCAGGGAACCATATCCCATCCACATCAGCAAAAATGATTTCACCTCCTTTGAATCTTGGGTCTGCTACTTACTAGCTGTGTGACTTTAGATAGCTTTCTCAATCTGTCTGAAATTTAGTTTCCCCATTAAAATGGGGATATAACAAATCTCATAAAGTTATTGTGAAGAGTAAGAAATAATAACTTTAATTCCTTTGACCACTGACTGTGTGCATGTGTGTGAGTCCATGTATACATATATATCATGTATCCATATATGTATACATATACACATATAGTCATACCCATATATATATCTCCACATACACATATGCACATATACATATGCACATGTACATGCACATATACATATATACATACATATAAGCATATACACATATGCAAGTACACATATACATATATACATATCCATATACATCAGGCATCATGCTACCACCAACAATGCCAACAATACCACTAATAATGATGGTGACTGTAGTAAAGGTCATGATACCAGTTGGCATTTACTGAGTGGTAACTGTACTGGGCACTAGTCTAAGAAGTTACGTTACCTTATTTAATTTGTCAAACAACCCACTGAGGCTAGTGCTATTATTTATTTCTACTTTCTAGAGGAAAAAAAGGCTTAGAAGTTAAATCAGTCATTAGTAGAATTGCATTTGAAACCCAGAGACCATGTTCTTAGCTACCACACAGTAGGGAGAGCTGAGGTAAGCATGATGGGGCTCTCAGCACGGTGACCCTCTATGCATCGCCTCACGTCCCAGCATTCAGCACAGAGCTGTGACAGCTTGTCCTCCGCAGCAGTGGCCGCTCCACAATTACCAGTGAATGTGGGTGGTGGGCAGGGGTATG